CCGGAGAGCTCGGCAGCCTCGGGCCAGCCCCGGCTCCCACCCGGCCGCAGCTCAGGGGCTCTTTTGGCACGGGAATCAACCCACCCTTGGCACGGGATAAACCCTCCAGAATAAACCCAGGGCACCGAGACACACTCAGACCCCTTTAACCGGGGGTGTGCGGGGCCCGGCAGAGAGAGGAGCAGGAACAAAGACCTCAGACCCATTCAAGGGACACGATCTGCAGGCAGAGGCTGCCGGAGGGGTCGCGGTGAGGATGGGCAGGGGACGGCCCCACCTTCCCGGCCCTGCCGAGCCTGGTCCCTGCACATCTGCAACCCCTTTGCTTTCCTTTATTCTTTTTTTTTTTTTTTTCTTTTCTCCTCCCAGATCACTTTAAAGGTCCAGCTCAGGGCATAATTAGCAAAGCAGTTAAAGTGGCGAGGGCAGTGACCTTCGGCGGTGGCAGGAAGCGGCAGCCGTGGGTGGCCGGGGGGGCGCAGCACCCCGGGAATCAGCGGTGCCTTGTAAAATCTCCAAATCTCCTCCCGCATCCCCGGCACAGCCCCGGTGCCTTCGTCTGCCCACAGAAAATGGGCATTTCGGTGGAATGCTGAGCTCCTGCCCCGCGGGCTGCACTGGCACCACCATGCCCTGTCCTTGCTGTGTCCCCCAGCACCAGGCACAACCCAACATCCCTGGCCAGGGGCTTGCCCGGCATCACCCAGCATCACCCGTGGCCATGGCACTGTCCCCGCTGTCCCCCAGCACTGCGGGGCCACGGGGCTGCATTTCCACGTCTGAGTTCCCTTATCAGCAGCACGACCTTTGCTGGTCGCAGATTAGGGGCTGGAGCCGCTCGGATTTGTTTGATTTCTGTTGATGGTTATTAGGCAGAGGAAGTGCCAGAAGGGATTTTGACCTCGAGTTTAAACCTACTCCAATTAGAGCCACTGAGCCTTTAATTACGGCGCTCCGGCCACTTTGGTTAAAGCAACAACAAAACCAAACACAGAATCTGGTCAAAGATGGGCTTTTCTTCCCATGGTTCCTCTCAGCTGCCGCCTACCTTGTCCCCTGGGCTGTGTGATTGTGCCATGGGGCATTCTGGCCCACCAAGCCCCTCGTGCTGCCTCTGGACACAGAGGTGACACCACTCAGGTGGCTCCCACGGGCAGGGGACACCCTGCCCTCACCCACTGCCCCTCACGCCACCCCCAGTGCCCCAAGGATGCTCCAGGGGGGATCTCAGTGAAAAACACCCGAGGTTACAGCCCAGGGGCCCATTAGAGCTCACTGAGGGGTGAAGGATATTTTGGAAGCACCGATTTCTTACTTGGCAGAGCTTCTATTAAGTAGAGGTTTTTTAAAAGCAAGTCCAGAGTGCTCTTGTTCTTCACTCCACTTGGCCCTGGCACATGGACCATGTTTCATCCCCTGGCACCAGGGCACCCAGCACAGACCTTTCTGATGCTCCAGAGCCTGGCACAGATCCCGGCCTTTTGCTTTATTGTTATATTCATTGATATGAGGCTTTATTAACATAGTTCAAGCTTAGCAAAAGAGGGTTTGTATCCATGTAAGTCCTATGATTTATAATTACTTTCATCTTGTGGTTGATTTTTTACTTAAACAGTGACTTAATCCTTGTGCTTTGATAATTTCCTTCCCTGCCTGGCTTTTGTTCATTTTACCCAAAAATCTCAGAGAAAGAAAAAGCCAAGAGGAAATTCTCCTTCTAAGCAGCACCAAACCCTGAGCAGAAGTGGGATGGGGTGACAGCCCAGCTGAGCAACCAACTGGAGCAGTGAATGGATTTGGGCATTCCCAGGAGCTGGGGGAGCACAACAACCCCGCCAGTACCACACTGTGAAGTGTTTTATGTGATGAGTAACAGGTATTAGCACTAAAACAGCCCTTGTGAATGTTCTGTGTCGAGGTTTTAAAAAGTTCTTGACTCCAGCTGCTTGCAGGTTTGGAGTATTGTGTGTATTTTCAAACGCTTTGGTTTCTTCTCCTCTCCCATGGAAGCCGTGCCATCTTTTGAACACAAGGCAGTGAAAACAAGAGTGGGTACTATGAAAACTTAACTTCATGTAAAAAGGAATTTCCTGAGGCTCTGCAGGCACGGGTTGGGCATCCAGGAGCAGCTCTGGGATGAGCTCTGCTCCTGTTACATTTTCTGGCCCTTTGAGCTGTTCCTTCCCAGCCCCTGTGTCCAACCTGGCCTTGGACACTGCCAGTGAAGCCACAGCTTCCCTGGGCCCCCTGTGCCAGGGCCTGCCCACCCTCACAACCAGGAATCCCTCCCCAATATCCCATCCAGCCCTGCCCTCTGGCAGGGGGAAGCCATTGCCCCCATCCTATCATCCCCTGCCCATGTCAGTACTCCTGGGGACTCTGAGCTCTCTCCCCACCACAGCACAGCAGCTCCACAGCCGTGTCTGCCCTGCACTGCAGCCTCCAGGCCAGCCTGGCTGTCAGGGGAGGCCAGAGGTGTTTACCTGGTCACTGCAGGTGACCACAGCCCTGTCCCTTTGGTGGTGTGAAGTGGCTGAGCTGTCCCAGCCCCAACACAAGTACTGGAGCCTGTGAACCCACACCAAACACAGCGTGGCTTCTGCAGACCCCAGCACCCACCCATCCCTGCCAGAGCCCCTGGCTGTGCAGGAACATGGAGCTGGAGGTGTCTGCAGCCTCCAGGACGAGCAACAGGAATGCCAAATATTCCAGTTCTCTGGAGTCAAGCCCAAATAAGGCCCAGATGCCAGGAGAGCAAACACGAGGCTGATCGACCAAGTTTGGGCAAATGTGATTCAGAGTTCCCCAATGCTGCAGATTTTGCCTGTAGGATAAAATTCCTAATTCTGTGTTCACTTATTCCTGTTTAAAGAGGACTCTGTGGAACCTCTATCCATCTCTGTCAGCCCCAACTGCTTGTTTGTGGGGACTGTACATTTGAGAAGTTCAGCTGTGAAGCAAAACCAGTTTCATGGATCATACAACTACCAAAAAATCCAACAAACCCCCCAAAATGGAATCACCATTTCCTGGCAGGCTTGGTTACAAAAGAGATGGACACCTTGGAGACTTGTGTTACACCTTCCATGGAAGGAGATGGAATGCCCCTAGATAATCAGTGTTTGTCATGGATAACCAGGTGCATTAACACATCAAAACTCAATTAAACACTGTCCTACAGCAACAATGCTACAGAAGTGACATTTATTGACGTTCTGCTGTATTTACAGGTTGAACATAGTAAAACTCCAAAGTGAATGACCACTTGGCAGAAAGCACAGGAGTGCACATTAAATCTACATTTCCAACGCGTCAGAGTCTCTGCTAACACAAATTATAAAAGCAAGAATTACAGGTATATTAGGAATTGTCTCAAAAGTCCCAAGCCCAAAGAAAAAAAAGGCCTTTGTTTTGCAAGATGGTTTTTATACAAAGTTGCAACATGATCTTTTAGTTTTACACTACAGACTTGTTCCGTGAAAACCCCTGGAGAGCCCAAAAAGTTGGTGGTGCGAAAGGAAAGGATACTACAACACCGAGAATAAAGACTGTTAAAAGTTAATGCTTGTGCCACCTCTAAATTCCCAATGACACCTCGGAGTCTGGACTGCAGTGACCCCTTTTCCTCACAGGCCCCGGGGTGCTGGGGGACTGCAGGAGCAGCCTCAGCTCTGGAGTCACCCCTGTGCTGCCAGGCAGGACACGGGGGACAGGGACGGACAGACAGGACATGGGGGACAGGGACAGACAGACAGGACACAGGGACAGGGACAGACAGGGCATGGGGGACAGGGACGGACAGACAGGACATGGGGGACAGGGACAGACAGACAGGACACAGGGACGGACAGACAGGACACGGGGGACAGGGACGGACAGAGAGGACACGGGGGATAGGGATGGACAGACAGGACACAGGGGACAGGGACAGACAGGACACAGGGATGGACAGACAGGACATGGGGGACAGGGACGGACAGACAGGACATGGGGGACAGGGACAGACAGACAGGACATGGGGGACAGGGACGGACAGACAGGGCATGGGGGACAGGGACGGACAGACAGGACACGGGGGACAGGGACGGACAGACAGGACATGGGGGACAGGGATGGACAGACAGGACATGGGGGACAGGGACAGACAGACAGGACATGGGGGACGGGGATGCACAGGACATGATGTACATGGAGCACACAGGATGGACAGGACATGGAGTTCCATGGGTTGGACAGGACATGATGCACACAGGCTGTACAGGATGTGACACATGGGGACTGTACAGGACATGGAGTTCCATGGGCTGTACAGGACACACAGCACACACACTGCACAGGACAGGGTGTCACAGACTGTCCAGGATGGGGTGTCACAGACTGTACAGGACACAGAGCACACACACTGCACAGGACAGGGTGTCACACACAGCCCAGGACAGTGTCACACTCTGTACAGCACAGGGTGTCACACACTGCAAAGCACATGGTGTCAGACAGTGCACAGCACAGGGTGTCATACACTGCCCAGGACAGTGTCACACTGTGCCCAGCCCAGCACAGTGTCACACACAGCCCAGGACAGTGTCATGCTTTGTACAGGACAGGGTGTCACACAGAGTCCAGGACAGTGTCACACTGTGCCCAGGACAGTGTCACACTCTGCCCAGGACAGCACAGGGTGTCACACACAGCCCAGGACAGGACAGTGTCACACAGAGTCCAGGACAGTGTCACACACAGCCCAGCACAGGACAGTGTCACACTGTGCCCAGGACAGTGTCACACACAGCCCAGCACAGGGTGTCACACTGTGCCCAGCCCAGCACAGGGTGTCACACACAGCCCAGCACAGGACAGTGTCACACACAGTCCAGGACAGTGTCACACACAGCCCAGCACAGGACAGTGTCACACACAGCCCAGGACAGGGTGTCACACTGTGCCCAGCACAGGACAGTGTCACACTCTGCCCAGGACAGCACAGGGTGTCACACTGTGCCCAGCACAGGCAGAGCCCAGGCAGCTCCCAGGCTGGAACTAACGCAAGCCTGGCCCCTGCTGGCCCCGGCACAGCTCCTGCTGCCCAAACACCACAAACTCTGGCTGAAGGGCTCCATCAGCACAGCACAGACTCACTGCAAGAGCTGCTTCAAACATTAGCCACTAATGAGTCAACAATTACAGAATTCTGCGTTAATTATTAAAATTTTACACCTAAAAACAAATCGAAAGAAATGCTTCTCCTTTTTTTTTTTCTTTTTCCAACAGTACTTTTATTTATTTATTTTAAAGCAGGTGATTATTTTTTCTTCTGCTCCAGAGCCTTGATTCACTTCCTGCAGGTGTCCTGCTGCTTCTTGGGGGGGATTTCACTAATGCAGGAAGACATTTGCCAGAAAACATCTGTTGGAGAAGGATATTGAACACCAAAGCTGCAGTCAGAGGGTTATTTTGGATAACAGGAGGATGTTGTTCACACAGCACAGGATGTCTAAGGGCTTATGAAGTGTCTCAGCACACAATGATGTGACTCCAGCAAAATGCTCAGGAATCTGTGTGTATTTTACAGGATAACAGCAGGATTGTGTCCATTACTGCACACACAGCTGGAATAGTAAACTCCAGCTTTTCACCAGATTCATTTCACCAGGTTGTATTTTCTGGTTTGCACTCATTATTCCCCTCCTAATTTTCTAAAATTATCCCTGCTCTGAAATAACCATAATCCCTCACTGTGCCCTTTGCATCATGCCCTGAAGAGGAAATCTCATCTAAGGACAATAATACACTGAAAATCCAAGTCTTTTGTGGCTTCTTCACTCAGAATTCAGGATTAAAGATTTATTTTCAGGGGAAGTATCACAGTTGAAATATTTATGAATTATTCTGGACATTTATCTCAGCATATCTGAAAGTGCTTTTCTAAAATGCTCTAAAATGACACATAAATAAGAATTTAAACACTCTACAGCTCCACAAGCAAGGAGCGAAGCCAGGTCTCTAACCTGTAATTTCAAATTTCAAACACAGGAAAAGTCTATGCAAAAAGAAACCACAGAGCTCCTTTAGGAAATAAAAAATAAAGTTTTGCTAAAGGAGCAAATTTTTTTTTTTAAATTGTTCAGTCAGACAAAATACAGAGATAAAGCTGACTTTAAATGCTCACATTCTGTGACCATAAACTGGGGGAAATCAAGCCTCTGGTGACTCAGCAGGAATCTGGGAGGACATTACAGATCCTGGAGGAGGTCACAAACCAGAACTTTGCTAAACAGAACTGAAACACGTAAAGAAATTGGCTGAACTATTTTTACACACTATCACCAGAGGAAAGCACTGCACAAAGGCTGCTCTGTGCTGCAGATTCTTCTCCCAGCCTGGAAACGAAGCAGAATCGTGGGCAATTTGCAGTTTCTAATAAAAGGGAAGTGCATTTGGAAACCCAAGGCTCGGTTTTCAAATCTCAACAATTTAATGACCCCCAATTTAAAGCTGGGGCTGGTTTGGTTTCTTTGACTGTCCCAGCTGCAATTGCCTCTCTGGGGAAATGGAGTGTTATTATGATATTTCTAAAGGGAGCATCGTGTTGCATTCCCCAGCTGGGAAGAACCTATTCCAGGATTTCCTTCCCCTCGGGGAGGGACAGTTAATGCCAGGCCATTATCTGCTGTGAGCAGGAAATTATGCTACAAGGCTTCAGCTACTTAAGCCTCCTCCTTTAAAGCCCCATTAAGGCAGCCAGCCTGGGGTTCAGCACTGAAGCAAAACACTCCCAGGCACTCAGGTCTTTGCAAGATGCTCAGGGAGGGCAGCTCAGGTGTGTGGGGGGGTCTGAGGAGAGCAAAGGTGTGCAAGGCTGTCATTTCTTCAGGAACCTGGCAGCAATTTGAAACAGCAGGATTCAGAGAAATTGCTCGTTCTGGGACAAAAGCCAAAGGCACTGGCATGCCCCTCTAACAGCATTTTGTGACCTCTCCTCGGGGCTGGGACACACCACGTGTTTCAGGCATGTGATTTATTCTCTAAGACACATTTGCCAAATACTCAGCAGTACCAAGGGGCAGGGGTTTTGTTCTCACAGTATCTAGTCAGGGAATCAAATGAATATCCAATTCCTCACAGCAAACCCTCAGGGACAAATGCCCAGTGTTCCTCTGCCTCCCATCAGGTCAGTCTGGGCTCTGCAGACTCAGGAGCTGGGTAGGGGGTACCAAGAAACAACTGTTCCCTGCTTCCTTGAGTTCTAAAAATATTCAAGCAATGGAAAGTGTAGCCTAGAAAAGTCACTAAATAGAGTTAAAGTCAAAGCAGAACAAATTCAGGAAAGCAGAAAATTTACCTTTAGTAAATAAAGAGAACTCTGGTTCTGGGAAGAGTAGAAAACGTATCTGGCATCTTCCTAACCTTTGCATAATTAATAAATCCTCTGAGAAACAGCAGAAAACCTGCAGGGGAGAGACACATTTGTCCAGTTACCACAGGTGTTGCTTCTCCAAGGAGAGGGAGCAGCTGAACTCCCTGCCACCTCTACAGAGGGTCCTCATCACTGGGATGCACAGCAGCTGATCACACACAGGAATTACTTTTGGTAGCAATAACACCTCATCTTTCCATTTCAGGTAACTTCAAAAACAAACTTTCCTTGGGTAATCACAAAACTTTGACTCCAAACAAGATCCAGTCACTCCCAAAGCAGGAAAAAGAAAATAAGATGAGGAAGGGAACAATCCACTCTTCCATTTAAGATGCAAGAGCAGACACAATATCAGTTACAAGCATTATTCTCTTCTTAACTTCTGGATGATGTCAGGATGCTGCCACCAAGAACTGCCAGGACAGTGTTTACATGTGCCTTTAAAACCTGAATGTGCTCAGTCAGAGGAGTATGAGGGTCACATTTCATCTGGACATCCACACACACATGTTTAACAGCCAGGAATGCTCTCAAAATCCTACCTGACTTGACAGTTTTGAAGCATCTTTCCCCCCACAGCCACTCACCTAGTACAAGGAAGACCCACCAAAGCCAGTACTGGCCATCGAAGTAACCAGGAAAATAGGTGGAGAACTGAAAAACAGCAAAAAAAGTACAGTTTAGAGCACATGGAAGTTGGTGAACCAAAGTCTATCCCCACCAATTTTAGCAGTAACCAGATCAGGGCTGCACACGAGAGCTCTCAGGGATGCTGCATTCAGGAATGCTGCAGCAATGAGTTACCTCCACAAACTGTTATTTGTGGTTTTCCTGCACCAGCTCCAACCAGGGGAATGGGACAGATTCCACACCCAGCTATGAATTCTGCCAATCAGTGGGGCACAAGGACACTGCTGGGCAAATATTCCTGTTTTAAATTGTGTCCTGGATGCTTATAAAGCACAGCTGCAGGTTCTGAAAGGGCAGAGCAGGCTTGCAGCAGTGCAGCACATTCATTACATTGTCAGGCTGGATGGTGTAACAGCTGGGAAAGAAATCCCACACCTGTGGAATCCACTGACAAGATTCCCAATTGGGAAAATTACTGCTATTAAATGAAAGGCACCAACACTATGAGAGCACTGCTGTTCACAGTTTCAGTATAAATACATTATAATTCCTCTGGGTTTGCTCTATTCAAACTTAAAACCTAACAAAAGATAAACTTGTTACTGATGTCTAAATCAAACCCACAGATAATGTCACCTCCTTCTGTCACACCTCTTAATCCAGCAAACAGCCCTTAACACCTCTGAACCCAGATTACCACAAAAACTGCCAGAAAAGTGAAGAGATGCTGCATTTACAAATTAGAATTCCCAGCCCCAAAAGACAGGGTAGGAAGTGACAGCTCTGACATGAATGCTCTCTACTTCTACTTACAGCCAGTGAACTGCTTTGCTTGAAATTCAACTTTCAGCCTGGAATGCCATCATTTCACAGGCTCCAAATAAAGCTTTCTGGATGGAAATATTTTTTTCTCCCAATCCCTCCAAAAAATTTAAGAGCTAAAAATCCTGGAGCAGGATGGCAGCTGCTGCTGGTCCTGCTCCTGTGCCGCAGGGAGGCTGCACCAGAGGGCACCCACGGCCTTCTCCCAGTGCTGCTCCAAACCTCACTCCTCCCACGGCCCTGTTTCCCTCTCCTCATCAGCTATCCTGCATTTTAGAGAATTCCCTTCTTTCCAGAGGAGAGCCAGGCCACAGCAGGCTGCAGAGGCTGAGGGCAGGGCTGGCTTTGCCTGGGTTCATGTTTTCCCAAGATCAGAGTGCTGCTGCTGCTGCTCAGCCCAAACCACACTCTGATCAGGCCATGCTCTGTCAGACACACAGAATGAACCCCAGAATCCCACAGGGGTTGGGCTGGAAAGGGTCCTACAGCTCCTCTCTTTTGCCACAGACAGGGACACCTTCCATTATCCCAGGAATTCCTGTCCAGCTTAAACTTGGACACTTCCAGGGATGGAGCATCCCCAAAGCATATCTGGGCGTGCAATCTTTCTTTTCTTTCACTACAGTTGAAATTCAGCAGATAAACAGGATACAATTATGAAAAAAGCCCTGTTTTTAGTGAGTAAGTAGCTCAAAAACGATTTCATTATTAAAAAAAAAAAAAAAAAACAACTAAATTTATCACTAACTTCAGTATGAGATAAAAACCTACTGGGGAAAAAGAGTATCAGTGTCTGTGTCCGTGGTTTTGCACCACACAACTCACCCTGACAATAAGGATCCACTTAATAAGAGACAGACCAAAGCCAGAAATGGCCCCATATCGTCCTGCAGCTGAAGTAGTCAGACAGAAAGACAGGAAAAATCCAATCCAGTTGAAGAGGAATGCCACTGAGAAAGCAGGAGAAAAGCAGCAGGTCAAGACACCTTTACATTCCAAGGAATAAAACCATAAACTCCTTGCACTCAGGTTTTTCCTGGTGCTACATAAACATAAATGTGACCCAAACTATTGTGGGTCACTGCTTGGAAAGAAGTTGATTCCATCAGGTACTTACTGAAGAAAGTCAGCATGAAAATGCCATCATTTCCTATCCTCAGCTGGTCAGTGTCATCAAAGTCATCCCGTGTCACAAAGTCATCGTCCTGCAATGCAGAGGGAGGCAGCACATGGGGGATTTAGGTCAACCCAGTCCATACAGCAACCCCACTTCTGGGTGTGACTCTTCAAAAAAAGGGCTGGAATCCTAAATAGCAAAAGGCTACAAATGCAGGCACGAGAAAATTCCTGTTTCTCATCCTGAAATGGTGCAGGGCATGAAATGTTATCTATATAATAGGAAATGTATCTTTATTTTTAACATAGTCAAGATCCAGCATGTTCTTGTTCTCATTGTGAAGAATTCTTCAACTCATCAAAAAATTATCATCTCAGCGAGGAATTTGGCTTCTGTGAAGAAGTATAATGAGCAGGGGACTTCCAATGCTAGCAGGGGTGGAAAGAATGGCTGAACAAGAGATAATGTTGAAAAAAACAAAAGGAAATAATTCTGGTTTTATCGTCCTTGTATCAGCTACACTGACCTCTAGAAAAGTCAACTAAGTTAGCAGCAGGAGTATCAAGGGTAGATATGCCAGACAGCTGAAGAATTAATCCTAAATCTTTTTTAAAAATGAAAAAAAACCCAACAAAAACCCCAGTGTCAGTGCACAGGGATACAGCACAGTCCCTCTGTCAGCTTGCCAAGCTAATCTGGCTAGCACATGCTGGCATTACTGAGATGTCTGACATCATCACAGCGCTCAGAGGAAAATGAAAAAAAAAATAAAAATAGCCACAGGACTCTCAGAAGTGTGGAATATCACCACCCCAGAAAGCTTCATCGACACAAATTTTGAGAGTCATAACACACGATGGGCAGGAGTTAAAGCTGAACTGGCACCCAGCAGGACAGGGACAGGCAGGGACAGGGACAGGACACTCACCCTGCCAGGAACCAAGGGAATGGTGGCCTCAGCCTTGCTCCTCTCGGCCTCGTCGTAGCTGGGCAGAGTGGTGGCCACGTTGTAGGACGGCGGCTTTGGGAAGCCTGACTCATCCTTGTAGTCAAAGTAAGCTGCACAAAACACAGAGAGAGCTCAGCACTTGCTCAGGAACACCCTGCTGGGAACCAGCACTGACTTCCAGTGAGCCCCGTTCCCCACCCTGCCACCCAGCCCAGCCTCCTGCCATCCCAAAGCAGAGAGGGAAAAGCACGGGAGCACCTTCTCTGATAGCCAGCAACGCAGAGAACACTCACTGAACACGTCTGGCTGCACTTCTGCTTGAAACAACACCACATGCTGTGCCTCTGCTGACTTGGATACTCAGAAATAGTCACGTTTCCAGATCCAAGGGGTTATTAAAGTTATTAGGGACAGGACAGGAGGATGAGCCAAAGTCCCATCCTTATGACCAAATGCTTAGTTATTGGAAAGTGCAGGAAAAGTGAATTCTTTAAACCCTTTTAAGTAACGAATGAATCCTTTAAGGAAGGGGCACAGCATCATCCAAATGCCAGCTAATGAGAGGGGAACCACAAATCCTCCCAGCACTTTGATTTTTAACTGTCTCCAATTTACTGAGAACACTGTGAACTGTAACTTGAACACCCCTTGATGGGATGACATCAGACGAGCGCAGCCAAATTGCATCTCCTAAACCACAAGTACTGACAGGCTGTGTGGATCAATCCTGAGCCTTGCAGCTCAGGAAGGTGCTGCAGAGCCAGCTGTGGATGAGGAGGGCAGTCAGTGGCAGCAGAGCAATGCCAGCCCTGTCCCCAGGTGACAGTACCTGTGCTCTCTGCAGAAATGCTGCTGTAGGGCGGAGGGGCGTCGCTCACCACCGGCACGGCCTCGCCCGGCTCCTCTTCATTCTGCAGCTGAACAGAACCACACACCAGGGCTCAGGGGGTTCTCAGTGCTCTGACACCACCCCTGCAGCTTTAACTGCACACAACAGACTCTTCTGGAAGCACCACGGGACACAGAGCAGCTGCTCAGCCTCCCTCTGAAGCGTTCCCACTTGAAATGATCAATCTTCCATCGCAGTTTTAATGTTGTTTTTAAATCCTCTCCTCACACACCTGGACTCCAGCAAAGCACAGCACACAGCTTTCCAGTACCTTTCCATTTCCCTGGCACTTCCTCAGCTGACACTGCTTAGAAGCTGCAGTTGCATCTGTTTTAGTCGAAGAAATACAGTGAGATACCCAACAAAAGGCTCCATTGCTGCCTGTGGCTTTGCTAAGGAAGGGTTTTTTCCATGGATACATTACATAATGGTGCACAAAAGTACAAATGTTGCCATTTCCCTTCAACCTTTCACACCGTATGACTGAAAAGGAGCGGGTTTATTTTGTGCACTGTGCTTCCCACAGGCTCTGTATAAATAACCAGGAGCTATCACAGCTCCAGCATCACCCGCACGAGGCAGGTGTGCCGTGGCAGCTTTGATCAGGGAGGCAGCAGCACCAGGCCAGAAAGGAGGTTACAGCTGCCATCTCATGTTTCCCTTCCTTCCATTTCTCATCACCTCAGCAGCAAAAGCACTGAGGTTTTCTGCAGAATACCTCACCTCAAACAAGCACCTCCAGACTGAAGCACTGGGCTGAGCAGGAGGCACTGCCCTCGTATGAAATCACCACTAAACAATGTCTGCTCCAGCTCTCCCTCCTGCAACCCCACACTCCTGAAGCCATCTGGGATATTTTCCTTTCTTTTCTTTGGAGAGACATGCTGCCATTCTCCTTGAGCATTTAACACAGGGGTGGGGGCGTAGGGGGATGTTCTTATCTTATTTGTATCAGGGAAAAATAAATCAGCTCCCACTTCTAAACGCAGATCTTGGATATCCAAGTGTTCTGTGCTTTGGAATTTTATTCCTTCTGCTGCTTAACATCACAGATCACAGAATGGTTTGGGTTGGGCCATCCCTTAAAGCCCATCTCATTCCACCCCCTGCCATGGCAGGGACACCTTCCATGAACCCAGGCTAATCTAAGCCCCAATGTCCAACCTGGCCTTGGCACTGCCAGGGATCCAGGGGCAGCCAGAGCTGCTCTGTGCCAGTGGAAGTCTATAACCTATATTCTGCTCCAGGTCACACAGCATCCACACCCTCTGGGAAAGCCTTGACTGTGCTTAGCAGGTGACAATGTGTGGTTCTGCTGGCAGGTCCAAGGGGTCAGCTGAGAGGGGGAAAAGGGAGGAAATTACACTGGAAAGCACCAGAACAAAATCAGGAGCACTGTCTGCCAGTCCAGGTGCAGCAGAACAGCAGAGCACTGCAGACCTGCACTCCAGTTCCACATCAGCTGAAGCTCACTCTGCTCCCCAGGAACATTTTCTAAACAGAAGAGGTGGGGAAGAAGAAGAGGGTGCTTGGGTCAGCCCCAAGCTTTGTGGATAAGCAGTCCTCACATGACAACGCTGAACCATTTCCTTGAAGAAGGAGGAATCGGTGATCCGGATGAAAATTTAATCCTTGCTCCAGGGAGCAGCTCCCAGCCCAGCTGTCAGCAGGACACAGCCCAGAGCTGCCCCTGGCCAGATGTGAGGCACAGCAAACAATCCCAGGGTGTGAGGCCCCGAGGGTGGAGGTGGCAGGACCTGCCTCACCTGAGCTTTACTGAGCCCCAGGGCACTGAGCAGGGACAGGAGCAGCTGCAGCAGCTCCCAGCACAGCGAGGCACCTTCGTCCTCCCAAAGCCTTTCCAAGAAACAAAAATTTTATAAACCCCACAGAGCTCAGCATTACAAGTAAATGCAAACTAACTTGAGAAGCAATTGCTTGTTGGAATATGTTTCCATTTTTTAGAAAAAGACAGCATCCAGAAATCCCAAATCACCCTGCACAGAGCACGAGGGGCAATGGAAGGGACAGGAAAACACAGAGCCAAACTGCTTGATTCAATCTCTGCCCAGAGAGCTGCCCCTGGATCCCTGGACACGGCAGGGGGAAAAAAATACTAAAAATATTATCTTTAAAGTCATCCCAACCCAAACCATTCTGTGATTCCATGATTCCCCCGGCTCTGTAGTTTATGAATTCTCAGAAAATGCTCCACCATGCTTATTGCCAGTCTATCCATGAAAATATGAAAAATCAGCACTTCTTTTCTCCCTCTGCAGGACCTTGTCTATTGACAGGAGGAAAGGCTCTGTCACAGCTGGGACACCCTGGATTCCACCTGCCCTTTGTTACCTGTTCTCCAGGGGAGGGGGTGGCAGAAATTCAGCCCCTCATGCCTGCAAGAAAGAAGGCAGGTACAGCCTGAGAGCACAGTCACCAGGGAGGGGGAAGGAAAGCACCACATGACAACACTGGAAGAAATGAAACAAAAGAGGACACGGATATTGAGTGGAATATTAACTCCTACCACTGGTTCTTCTTTCAATAGTAAAAAGAAATACATGTTCTTCCACCAATGTCACGTGGGAGAAAGCAGCTGAATTCACTGCTGCCTTCAAACATCCCAATTCAGGTAATGGATAATGACACAAAAAATGCAGCTACTTTCTGAAGTTGAGCTTGAGGCTGTAGGAGGTTACAGTTATAGAAAACATATTTTTCTTCTAATGGACAAGGTACACAAATGCCTTCCAGCCTTTTTAATGATTCCAGGCATCTAAAATTCAACTAAGTGCCTATTAGCAGAGCAGGGAGGGTTCATGTGACAGGAAGAATGACTCATCAGGCCTCGCTGCCCTGGCTCCCACCTGCCCTGCACAGCTCCAGGTATGGACTCCCAGAGAACTCCCCCGAGGCCTCAGAACCCAGAGAGCCTGCTTAAAACCAGTGTCTGACTTCAGTCTGCTCTGCTCAGGCTGTGGGATCATTCTTTCCTAGATTCACTGATGGATTCTAGCTTTTCAGGCAAGGTTCTCGTATTCGTGGCATAAAAAAATAAGACAGTCTTTACAGCCATGCATGTAGTTATTGAAACAACAGCTTGGCTGGGATTTTTTCACCAGACTGCTAAACCAACAGAAAGTGAACTGACAGAACACCCAGGGATAATTATTTTCCAAAAAACCCATCATCAGAAGCCTGGCACTGAGCAGGACATCACCTCTGGCTGCCACTTGCCCTGAGACCTGTCCCATGTAAATACACAGCACAGCAACATGAAGTTGAAATCTTCCAAGCTGTTTGGAAATATTTCCATGTAAACTTTGAAGAAAGCATTTCCAATAAATATATTGGTTAATTCTTCCAAATTTCCTAAACTCAGCATATGGGCTGCTCACATAGTTTTGAATCTTTATTTTTTAACTCCCCTTTGCCATGTTCTGAGGCTGCATGTAAATATTCCTTACACCAAATGAGCATCACTACACTAAACCAGCATTACTACAAGCCTGGCCTTAGCAATAGATCACATATCATTACATATCTTCAGCCTTTTGGAAGTAAATTGAAGTCACTGCCAACTCTGAAAAGGAGAGTTATTTTTACTGACTTTTGCTTTACTTAATTAAACATACCCTGATTTAAAATCCTGTCTTTTGCTCAATGTTGTTGCAAATTTCTGCAACTTTACATCAGCTTATTAATCAGCAGGAATAATGATAAGCTACTAGACAAGCCAACCCACTCCCCTCAGCCCTCTCCCTGATGAGCAAATAACTGTTTTCCCCTGTAGGCTCTCCCAGCCCATTTCCCTGGAGCAGTGACAGCCCTGAGTGTCTGGCCCAGCCCCTGCAGTGGCACAGGTGTGCTCAGCACCTCTCAGGTGACACATGTGGCACCTGTGCCAAGCCAACCCTCCCTGGGGAGATGCTGATGCTCCTGCCCCAGCCTCACTGCAGCCCTGAGCAGAGCCCAGCCCCAGGAGTGACCTCCCTACCTGTGCCAACACCAGAATTTCCCCATGGAAAGGGCGCTCAGGCCTTGGCAGGGGCTGCCCAGGGGGGTTTGGAGTGCCCATCCCTGGAGGTGGCACCTGGAGGTGGCACTGAGTGCTCTGGGCTGGGGACAGGGTGGGGATGGGGCACAGCTGGGACTCGGTTTTTCCAACCTGAGTGACTTGGAGATCCTGAGACTCCTCCCTTTTCACAAGGCCTGAGAACTGTGCCCCCTTCCTCAAGGCACCTGGAGCTCCCTGGCACCCAGAGAGCCCACACAGAGCAGGAGCCAGCAGCAGCATCCAGCTCAGGGGGGTGATGGCAACGACCCTGTGAGCCACCAAAAGGGAAAAACACAAATCTAAACCTATTTTATGTCCATAAAATACAACCTGTGGTGATGTCCTCTGACTCACTGCAGCCAAGGGCCTGACACCACAGAAATGCTCCTCAATCCTGGAAAACAAGCTGGTGTAATTCCCTCATTTCTGTTCAAACAGGGAGTTAGACTGGTCTGGACACACTGGAAACAGGCACTTGGGCCAGCACAAACCTGTGCCACACACTGGCCTCAGACTTGAGAGATCAAGGTCTTAATATGGAAAAATTAGGTTTTAATCTTGGATAGCTGTAATTAAATTTCCCACACTTAAAGCATAAGGCCTTCTCATAACATTTAGAATCAGATTAATATTTTTCTGGACATTAGGGTATTTCAGTAAGACTTCTAAACATTTTAAAATAACACCTTTTTAAATGGTCATATGAAGAAGGTTAAGTATCTTCCACAGAAAAAAATCCCATTGTGCCACCACAGATCAAATTTGGATATTTCACAACAGGCAGGAACAGAATGATTGGATAGTCCTCAATACTGAGTTTTGCTCACTCGTCCCCATGACAAAGGATCAGAACTCACACACATACAAAACCTTGATCCTTGCATTCTGTATGGTTACTTCTAAGTCATGATGCCAAACCCACAGATAAAGGTTGCTCATCTCCTGGGAGCACAGAACAACCCAAAGCCCTCAGGGGCTGCTCCTACAGCTGCTTCCCAATGGGGTTACTGAGCCCCACTGGATTTTAGTCATGAGAGAGAAGTTACTAAAAAAGCCCAACTCAGAGCTCAACACCATCCTGATGCCTGAGATAATATTGTATTTAAAAGTTTGCTTGCAAAGCTATTTTCTGCTGCTACACAAGCTGTGAGATGACACTGGACTGCTGCTGTTTCCCTGCCTTTCCCACATCCTTTGATTTTTAGGGACAGAATGTATTTAAATTCTATAATAACTTTTTCACACAGAATCACTAAACCCGTGCAACCTTACCTGACAGGTACTGTTGCCTACAGAGGTGGATGTTTCAGAGGAAAATAATCAGATTTTAGTCACCTCAGCACAGCCAAGGCTGGACACGGGGCAGCTTCAGCACAACCTCGGAGCAGAGGCTGCACAATTTTACTCTGCAATTTTTCTAATTTTACTGGGTTTATGTCAGTGGCATCCCCTATTCTGCTTACAAATAAAATAAAATATATAAATAAATATGCAAACAACCTACCCTGCAACGTTTCTTAGCATTCTTATCTTTAGCCAGCACACCTTGCACACTGCAAGGACCTCACTGAGGAAACAGTCACTGACATTTCTGATTCTAACTGCTGACATGAAAAGATTTGGAATGTTCTCATTTTTTAGTTTCAAGTTGTGTGCCCATTTCAGCTGCAAAATTAAACACAAGCTCAAGGTACACACAAGGCAGCAACTGACATCTGCCTCCCTGTTCCACTCCAGCCTCCCCAGATATTAAAGAAGCATTGTAGTTCTTCATGGATTTAAACTCTATTCCCATTCTATTTCCAGCAATGTATTTCTTCTACAGTTTTCACAGAACAAAAAACAAACAAATGGAAAAATCTTTCTTCCTTATTTTTCCCATTGACACCTCCCTTCATGGAATGATTCATGATCCATGTAAACCTTCAACAAGTGGAACAGGAAGACACAGCATTTAAAAAGGAATACATCTTCATTATTTAACACTCCCACCATTTCCTAGGTGGGTTTACATTACTCATACACCTCACATGTATTTTCGAATGCTCCAAGTGCAAAGCATGCCTGGAAAACACAGAGTGTAAATAAACCTGTTAAAGCTGGGCTATATTTTTCCAGAATGGAAGGTAATTTCTATTCCAAGGATGAAATACAGTTCTGCCAACTGAACTCTCAATCCAGGGTTATGCTGGGAAGGCTTTAAACCCACTAATCCCAACAACATCCCTGTATAACTTTCCCAAAGGCAGATTGAAATGACAACAGTGTCATTTCTGTCAGTGTCCCTTTTTGGGGACACAGCAGTGCCCGGAATAACAGCAGCGGGGCGGGCTGCAGCTCTCTCTCCTTCTTCCCAAACCTCTCCATTCCCACCTCCACAGGCACAGCCCCAGCACCTGGCCTGCAGAGGAGGATCCAAATGCAGCAGTCTCAGCCTGTCCCAGCCCTGCTCCCCAAGGAAGGGCTGGGGAGGCTGAAATCCCTTCTCCAGAGCTTCAGTTTTATCTTACAGGGAGCTGCACCTCCTCAGTACTGAGCTCACACTCACACTGCCCAGCGGCACCACTGCAGGCTACTTTTTATCAGATTGTCTCCTGCCTGAACAAAGCCATGGGCTAGGAAGTTTGCTTTGGAAAATAAATCAGTGCACGCCCCTTGCACACTGCCCATGATGGTGAACAGCCATGGGCTGGGAGTCTGCAGGGAACAAAGAGGCTGCTGATGGAGCACAGCCCACGTCCCCACCTTCCCACATCCCACCTGCAAGGGCTGGGAGAGGAGAGGAAACACACAGGTCTCCAGCTGGGGTATCGAGTTCTGTTGTGCTCAGATCATGGTCACTAACCCTCACCTTTTTTCCTGAAAATACAGACACTTGAGGAATCCTACAAATATTGTACAGGTTCCACAGTGCCCACACCTCAGTGCTGTTCCCATACACACATGGATACATCAGGAACCCATCCCAGAGTGAGGGTTACACATCCCTGGCACACTCGGACAGTCAATCACATTGACCAGTACAGGAACCACCTACCTGCATAACCAACTCCATTTATGCAATATCCCACCACCCAAAAAGATCAAGCCTTGAAAATTCCTCCACTGACTCATAATCCAATAATTTAAAGGATTAAATGAGCTTGTTGTGAATTTCTCCAGGCTACCTCCACTGACTGGGTCCTGTATTCACCCCAGCCCTTGCAGTTAGCACTTCACTAGCAGTCTCTCTTCCTTGGCACATGGTACATTCATTATTGTACATTCCCACACACAATAAGTTTCAAAATATGGGGGGAAATTGACACATTCAGTGCTACAGAGACTCTCCCACTCTCTCATCCTCTCTATCTAAATCCCAAGTGCATCTCCACAGCTTGCAGGGTTTGAAGCAACACAAGCATTAGGAGCCAGTTCAGTGATAACACACTTAACAATGGGAACACCTGGATTCTGGCAGAGGGCAAGGAAAGAGAAGCAATTTCTAAACAGCTGCACGAAAGTAAATACATTTACATGCGAGAATCTGCCTCTCACTCCAGTTAAACCAGTGGCTCCACAGGCTCCATTATGTGCTTGTCTTTAGCAGTGCAAATCCTCTGGCACAGCCAGGCTCCCTAATCTCTGCAGGGCTCCGAGATGAGTCTGCCCTGGCTCTGCCCGAGGTGTGAGCAGACACAGCACTGAGCAGGCAAACAACAGCTTTACACACCCCTGCCGGGGAAACCAGGAGTGTGTGCATCAGCCAGGTAACACCACGGCGGGCAGTGGGGTCCTGCAGGATTGTGGCACCCATCCCCACTGCTCTGGGTGATGGGACACGCTGCACAGCCCTTGGGAAAAGGCATTTGTGAAGACACTTGTTGGGGTCAACACCAACAGCAGCACTCTGCCAGGAAAGGCGATAAGTGCAGAGACCTGGTTATCTGTCCCTAGCACGTCTAGAACAACACAAAGAGATTTCTCATTGGAAGTGAGCACATCAGTTTAGCACTGAACAAAAGAAAAAAAAAAAGCCCAAGTTTTGCTTAACTTCTCCATTTCCAGTATGTAAAAGCACGGAGACCTGCAGCTGTCAGACGAGACAAGTACTCCATCCCAAGGGAGGGTGTATCTCGAACTCTGCCGAGCAGGAGCCTACCCACGCTGGGAATGCTACCCAGGAAAAGTCACAACACAGCGATTTCTTGGGAGAGCCTGGGCTCAGCAGGAGCGAGCTGTCTGCCGTTTTGAGGGATTTCTCCATTACTCTAAGTAAAGAATTCTCCATGTCTGATGTCGGAAAGGCGCCTGCCAGAACTGGGTCATCACCGGGGGCCCAGCCGACACCCGGCCCTTTCCGTGGGGCCGTTACTGCAGACGAACGGGAGGCAGGAAGAGAAGAACCACCCGAATTCCCCACGGAGCTCTTTAAGGCCAGCCCCTGGCCTAGAGGGAGTCCACGGGTAAAAGATGGAAGAAAACTAACGGTGACCTCGGGACGCTGCGGAACGAGACCGTTCCCTGGCGGGGGGGTCGCTGCCGTGGAGGGAAACGAGCGGCGGGGTCAGCGCCCTGCGCCAAGGTCGCCCCGGGACTGGGCAAACACCGGCCCCGGACACACCCGGCCCCGGGACTGGGCAAACACCGGCCCCGGGCCTTGGCAAACACCGGCCGCGGGCACACCCAGTCCCCCGCCGGCGGGGAGCGGCTCCGCGGCCGAGCCCGGCCTGACCCCCCGGGGACCCGCGGCCTCCGCCCCGGGCGCTGCCGCCAGCACAGGCCCCGCTCCCGGCCCCGCCGCCCCGGGAGCCGCCCGGCTCGGCCCCGCCGCCCCTCACCTGCTGGTAGCGGCCGGTGCTGGGCTCGGCGGCCGCGGCCGCCATGGCGCTGCGGGGTCGGTGCGGGCGCTGCGCAGGCGGAGGCGGCGGCGGCCCGGTCGCTGCTCGCTGCGGGCTCCGCTCGCTCCCGCCCTCCCCGTCACGCTCGGCCGCGCCGCCTCCCGCCCCGCCCGCCGCCGGAGCCGCCCCGGGCCGCGAGCAGCGCTCCTGGAACGGTCACGGAACCACAGAACCGCCGAGGCTGGGAGAGACCCGCAACACCAGCGAGTCCAGGCTGTGTCTGACACCCACCCTGTCCCCAGCCCAGAGCACCAAGTGCCACCTCCAGCCCTTCCTTGGACACTCCAGGGATGGGGATCCAACCCTCCCTGGGCAGTTCCAGTGCCTGAGCCCCCTTTCCATGGGGAAATTCCTGCTGGTGTCCACCCTGAGCCTGCCCTGGCCCAGCCTGAGGCCGTTCCCTCTGCTCCTGTCCCTGTCCCCTCCTGGCAGGAGCTGTGCAGAGCCACAAGGGCCCCCTGAGCCTCCTTTGCTCCAGGCTGAGCCCCTGCCCAGCGCCCTCAGCTGCTCCTGGGGCTCCAGACCCTTCCTCAGCTCCGTTCCCTTCCCTGGACACGCTCCAGCCCCTCGAGGGCTCTCTCACCATGAGTGGCCCAGAACTGGACACAGTGCTCACGGTGTCACCTCAGCAGTGCCAGCACAGGGGACAGTCCCTGCCCTGCTCCTGCTTTCACACTATTGCTGAGACAGCCCAGGTGCCATTGGCCTCTTGCCCTCCTTGGCACACGCTGGTTCCTGTTCAGCTGCTGTCAAGCGGCACCCCCAGGTCCTTCTCTGCTGGGCTGGTTCCCAACCAGGGTGGCTCCACTGGGGCTGGAGGGTGACCCGAGCCAGCCAGGAGCCAGCCCAGCTGTGTGTGGGGACCCCGTGTGCCGCTGCCTGCGGGAATGCCGAGAGCCAGCAGCGTGTCCCCGACACCACTGCAGCTGCAGGAGTGACCCCACAAACTCAGTGCACTACGTATAATCTACATTGTGGAACTCAAGTGTAATTTTCAGAGTGGAAGCTGCCATGGGATGGGTTAATGAAACCTAAGGAGTCAGGAAATTGATGCAGAGCCATGCTGCCTCAGCAGGGACATACCAGAGCCAGCATTGAGGAACCAGCCCTGTGTGAGCCACACTGACCAAGCCTGGGTCACACCCCAGCCATCCCTGTCCCACCACGCGGGCAGGGAACAGGGCAGCTGCACCAAACACGAGGTGTTGGCCATCAGCTCTTTCATATCCACAGGGAGCAGATGGTGTTGAGTTCCTTCCTTCCAAAAGGAGCACGTGTAGGAAACCACGCAGTGAGAGAAGTTGGTTTATTCTGAGTTCTTCAGTGTTACATTGGCCAAAACACTTCTCAGCTTGTGTAACATTTGTTTTCTACATGCGCGGTTCAGCTCTAGTCAGGCTTGCAGAAAATTACCCACATCAATCCCTAAGGTGGATGAGATTTAAATATATCAGCTTTAGGATAAGGAAGGCTGAATCAGCCCCGCTGGGATTCCAAACTGCAAATTCAGAGAGTTGCAAGCATTGAAGCCCGAGGACATGGTTTTGAACTGCACACTCAGTCATAAATACAGGCCTCAGTGCTCATTATTCCCTACCATAATCAGGCTGGATGCTTTTCTCCCTGTATTTTGCCTTTGAGGGGTAGGGAGTTCATCGATGTCTTAGTGAGATGAATGAACATCCCAGTTCTCATGCTGAAGGAGAGGCAGGAACCATGAAGGATTTTAGTGATGAATAACCTCAAAGAGTGGCTCCTGAGAAATGCTGGAGACACAAGGACGAGGCAAGGTTCTTGCAACACAGATGCCTTTGAAGGAGCTGGAACAAGAGCTGCAGGCACTGACAGACTCTGGTTTCACCTTTCCACAGGACTCTCGATTTGCACTGAGAATTTCCCTGCAGTGAGGAGCTGTCCTGATGACATGCACGGATTTACTCGCTGCTGAGGTGGGATTACACCCCTAAGTAAGGCTGTAGCAGCAGTGGTAATTATCTGCACAGTGACTGACTTGGACATGCAGAGATTAAAATAAGATGCAACCTGTGCATGTCCTCAGAGAAGATGCTGGAACGTATCCTGGAGAAATGGTGAAACCATTTGTGTCAAAGCCATTTTGGGGCCAGTGGAGGCAAATCACAGGCTAATTAGTCCATCTAGTCTGAGCATGACTGACTCCGGAGGGGTAAGGGCAATTTCTTCCAGCTTCTCTCCCTGTATTTATTTTTATTTTCTAAGGTGGGGAAGCTCAGTAGAAAGATGATGCTGTGGTTACAGCACATGACTGGTTCTGCTTTCATTTCCCAAGTGGTTTGAGGCAAATCACTTCATGCCTCTGTGTTTTTTGTCTTTTTTCCCAGTACAAAATGTCTTTTCTCCCAAGAGACACTTGAAGCTTGAAGTCATTGATTTTAGTGACTTCCGTACGGGATGTGCTGTGAAAGTATTTGAAAGCAATTGAAAGTATGAAAAGTAGTGGAGTGAGTCCTCTGAAATCTTGGAGCTGTACATGTGTTCCTTTAATTATTGTATACAACTGAGCAATAAAGAGAACACTTTTAATCTGCACTTTGTAATAAATATTGAACACTAAAAGCTAAATTATCAACCTCAAAAGCAGGGCGTGTAAGCTAAACTGGTAAGAACTGAGCAGGACATTAAAGCTAGATCTTTCTTCTAACCTTTTAGTGCTAAATTGCCCAATTAAAAACAATCAAAATGTTCATATGACAGAAACACTTTGTCATCAATTTGGAAGTACTCCTGTGTCCCTGAAGGCAGAGACACTCCATGTGCAAGAGTTGGAATCACAGGGTTTGAATATCCATAGATGTCATTTCCCACTGTGGAATAACATCCTGAATTAGAATTATATAATTAAGCTGGAGAGATTTGTTAAGGATTAATAAATGCTGTCTAACAGATACTCCTCCCCAAAATACCACTTGGCCACAAAGACTTTTTGTGCTTGGGATCATCTTGTATTTGAATCATCTTTGATCTTTTTGCCCAAAAAAGCCAAACTCCAGTTCCCTCAGGAATTCTCCAGCCCCTTTCCCAGCTGGCCCATTCCTGGAAGTGTTTAAGGCCAGGTTGGATTGGGCTTGGAGCCACCTGGGATGGTGGAATGCTCATGGCAGGGGTGAAACTGGGCAATCTTAAGGTCCCTTCCCACCCAAACCATTCTGTGGCTCTGCGACAGCCCCTGCCCAGGCAGCTGCCCCACTGCCTCGGAAGCAGCAGGTCCTGCAGGTGTGGGCTCCCTGTGGGGTTCTGGACAGCAGGCAGCTGCAATTTCAGTGTTTGTTACAGCAACAAAAGCCACTCGGTCACACGGGGTCTGCTGGAACGAGGAGAGCTCCAGCGAGCACAGCCACACGTCCCACAGCCGGGTGGGAGCAGTGCCTTGTTCACTGGTGTGGAAAACTATGGCCCAATAAGCCACGAGTACTGTGAGGAGGAGGAATGAAAACAACAGTGCCATTGAATTGGAAGAATTTCCCAATGGGAGTTCTCTTCCTCTGAAACGCAGCAGCAGAATTGAGGGGCAGATATGGAGGGATGCAGTGAGTTGTGCAGGATGGTGCACGGGGCAAGCAGAACTGAGCTCCAAATTGCCTCCACACAGCACAGCCAGCTCAGCCCAGCCTGACTTCAGGGGCCCCACTCGCTGATTTCACCAATGCCCTTTGTTGCTCTGTTGTTTCTTCATCCTACTGGAGAAATCACAATTAACCAGCGGTTAATTTAACCTTGCTATCCAGATTAAATCCCTTGCTGCTTAGGCTGGCAGTTTTGAACCTGGCGAGGAGTGACGTCCTGACAGCTTTGTCATGGCAACATCATCTGCAAAATGGAAAGGGACTGGCATGGGTGCTCTCCAGAGCTGTCTGTTCATGCATTGCCCTACCCATAGGCTTGTTGTGACCCCAAAAATATCCTAATTAGGATTTAGGTACTGTTGGGAGAGCTAAGATGTGAGTGGGGCCTGCAGGAAAGAGCAGGTCCCCTCCAGATCTATCATTTCTCCTTTTCTTATAAATTGGGGTCAGAAGGTAAATGGAACATGCTGGAGCAGGAAGAGGTGACTGATGGTGGATATTAAAAAGACTCTTTAATTACAGGATTTGGAGAGAGGATTCTTCATGGAGATAATTTTTTAATTGTTGCTGTTTCAGGAAAAGAATCCCAGTGCTCCCGAGCAGTTCCCAATAGCAAAAGCCTTGGGCTCTGAGCGCTGCTGACTCTGATCCCTTCAAGATGGGGCAAAAGAAAAAGCTGGGTTTCTAAGAGCTCCCCCCATTAAACATCAGCTTCTCCTTAAGAGAATTGTTTGTTTCCTTCCATCTGCTGCTTTTGCAAGGAAGGAAAATCAGCCTGTTCAGACACCAGGAAGTTCTTCAGCATGGGAACAGCTCGCTGTAAATGCAAGAACAATAACGGGCAGAAATTATCATACCTAAAAATACCCAGCATGCGAGTCACACGCACAGCCCAGCCCCGGAGCAGCTCGGGGTGGATGGAGCGTGTGGATCCACAGGATGTGCTGGGTGTGGGCAGCGCGGGGGCACCTGCCTGGCTCCGCTGCAGCTTTTGCTTTCACCAAAACATGTTTTGCTTTTACCGGGAGCTGTCGGCTCCTCCTGCTTCTTTGTGCACTGCAGCTGCCCAAGCCACTGGGAGGGGAGCTGAAAGCCACACCTGAGCAGTCAGAGCCCTCCAACACTTGGATTTCACCGACCCCATCCCCACCACGGCGCTGTGTGAGCAGCTGGGGGCTGCGAGGCCGGTGCCGAAGGCAGCAGCTCTCCACTCGTCCCGGGAGAGCCGGGCCAGGTGAGGAGGAGCAGGGGACGAGGTGACGCTGTCCAAGGCCGCTCTGGGGGCAGACAAAGCCCACAGCCCAGGTCACCCCGGCTGTGCCCTAGAGCTCACCGCCGTGGTGAGGAAGTCCGTGGTGTCCCTGCCATCAATTCCTACGCGGGCTGTGCCTCCAGAATTTGCTTTTCCGAAATTTCCGAGCGCTGGCCGCGTTTCCAGGGTAACCGAGCGAGCCGCTGAGGGCTCTGTGGGGAGTGGCGGTGCCGGGGCTCTCTCCCAGCCCAGCCCTGCAGCAGTTTTGGCTTTGCACACCAGAAGCCGCAGTTGTGCCACAGCAGGGGTGATGTGGGAGCTCCCAGGTGTGCGTGCAGGGCAGCTGTGCGCTCACCAGGTGTCCTTCGTGCCGGCACATCTGGATAAGGACTGAAGCAGCTCCAGCATGCGAAGGGTCGAGGCCTCAGCCGGGTCCCCGTCCACTCACAGCCCCCGGTTAGCCCGGCACCTCGGTCCTGTGCCTCCGAACCCTCCGCTGCCGTGATTCCTGCCAGTGCCCGAGGAACCCATGGCTCTGCCGCACCGAAATGGCCCCGATGGCACAAGTGAAGAGCTGTGTCCCACCGAGCCAGAGCCCAGGCTGCCCTGCCCTGCCCTGCCCTGCCCTGCGGGAGAACCGGGAATGCCGCTGCTGCCAGCTCTCACCCAACACCGGCCGCCGAGAGACCTGCCCGTGGGCTGACACTGCTATGGAAACACCTGTCCATAGAATTTATTTAGTCTCTGTGGCCGAAAACTCTTCCCGTGTGTGCCCACAGCCCGCCACACCCATCATCACCACGGGCAACCCAAGGGCTCTTCAGGATGAGACAATACCGGGAGCACTGGTTCTAGCCAGGTCATTTAAATTATTAAAATGAAAAGTAACTGCCTGGGCTGGATCCCAGCAAAGCAATTTGTAGCTCATTTTTCCTTCTGATGAAATTGAATATTGGTCTAACTTTGAAGTAAGAGCTTTGTATCCCAACAAGGAACCAAGCCTGTGTGCAAGGAGAGGTCAGGTGCATTTTCATGAGAGCTTGAACTCTGGAGCAACAGCAGGAAGGTGTTTTGGGGATACCTCTGTGCCAGGAGCAAGGACAGACAAATCATGGTCTCTCCGTCCCCCAGAACGACCCCAACCTGTCCCAAAGTGAGTCCCTACAGAACAGTTCAAGTGTGAGAACAGTTCGTTTTGGTGGGACAAGGCTGGGAGCTTCGCCCTAGGGCTGAAAAGCTGAAGGACAGAGCCGGGTGGATCCCTGCCGTGATGGTGACGCTCCAGCAGAACCACACCGCGATATTTAGGGCCGTTTTAATGGATCTGGAGGAAGCATTGCCTCCCACAGCTTGACACTCACCGAGCGGCGCTCGGCAGCCGCAGCGCCGCGCTCCCGGCGCGCCCCGTTCCGCCGCCGCGCTCCGGCCCTGCCCCGTTCCTCCCGCGGGGCCGGGCCCGGCGCTCCCCGCCCTCCGCGGAAGTGATCCCGGGCAGGGCGAGCCGGGAGGAAGCGGAGGTTGCGGGCAGGGCTGATCCGCACGGGCGGCGGCGAGCGCGGGCAGAGGCGATCCGCAGGCGGCGGCGATCCCCGGCGAAGGCAGCGGCGGTCCCGGGCGGCCCCACCATGAAGCTCATCATCCTGGAGAATTACTCGCAGGCCAGCGAGTGGGCGGCCAAGTACATCCGCAACCGCATCGTGCAGTTCGGGCCCGGCCCCGGGCGCTTCTTCACGCTGGGGCTGCCCACAGGTGGGTGCCGGGGGGCGGCCGGGCCGGGGCCGAGCGCGGGCCCTGCCCCGGCTGAGGCGGCCGCTCCCCGCAGGCAGCACCCCCCTGGGCTGCTACAGCAAGCTGGTGGAGTATTACCGCAACGGGGACCTCTCCTTCAAGTACGTGAAGACCTTCAACATGGACGAGTATGTGGGTGAGTGCCGCAGCCACCTGTCCTGTCGCCTTTGTCCCTGCCCGGGAGCTGCTGGGCCCTTACCCCGGCAGAGCCTGGCGGTGCCCGAAATCCACCTGTGCAGGTAAGAGGGACAACATTCTCAGAGTTACAGCACCAACATTCTCAGAGTTACAGCACCAACATTCACAGAGTTACAGCACCAACATTCCCAGAGCTACAGCACCAACATTCACAGAGCTACAGCACCAACATTTCACAGAGCTACAGCACCAACATTTCACAGAGCTACAGCATCAGCATTTCAGAGTTACAGCATCAACATCTCACAGAGTTACAGCACCAGTTAGGATGGAAAAAACCTCTGAGATCATCGGGTCCAGCCTGTGACCCCACACCACGGTGTCATCCGAACCATGGCTCTGAGTGCCACGTCCAGTCTCTCCTTAAACACCTCCAGGGAATTAGCAAAGGGGGACAATTTGAAAACCTCTGGAAGAAATTTGAAATTTTTCAGTAGGTTTGGAAACGTATGGACAAAACTGGATGCTGGTGTTGCCCAGTATTGCACACACTATTACAGACACTGCTGTGTGTTAGCTGCACTCAGGCACTGAACAGGCAAGAACAGATTATCACTGCAGGCTCAGGGTGCAGCTTTACCTTCCACCTTTGCTCCGGGGTTATAAAGGTCCCTTACAAAGACCAGTGTGTCCCCTGAGTGCCCTCAGGTATCTCCTGCTGATTTAGCAAAGGCTGCCATTGCTGAAGTCATGGTGAAACAGTCTCCTCAGAAGAAATAGATCCAAAGGTGAAAAACATACAAGCTAAATATTTGCTAATGATAATTTTATCCTGGTCAGGAGGGTTTTTTTCTGTGAATAATCCCAATCAAGCAGCATTAGGGAACAAGCAGTCCAGTGTGGGTTTACAGCATTCAAGGGGAGTAAATATGCAATAATTATACAATAATTATTATTTCCCAGGTTTCTGCACAGTTTTAAAATAATTCTTACTAAAATGAAATGGGAAAAGGGCTGAAAAGGTACTGACAGATGAGGCACAGCACACACCTGCTTTTTGAACATCTATTGTATATTAATATGGCCATGTTACAGGAGCTGATTTTAATTCTGGTATTTAGGGAAATAGAAACAACTCTGAAAGCTGAGGGTGTGACAAAGGACAGAGAGCAGTGCTCTGTCACCAAAGCCACTGCAGTGGTGTGGAAGTGCTTTGTTATGGGTGATACTGTTCCAGTTGGCCTCAGTCCTGTGTGTTCTGTTACCAGGCCTCCCGAGGGATCACCCAGAAAGTTACCATTCCTTCATGTGGAATAACTTCTTCAAGCACATTGACATCTCACCAGAAAACGTCCACATCTTGGATGGAAACGCCCCTGATCTCCAGGCAGAGTGTGATGCATTTGAGGAGAAAATCAAAGCAGCTGGAGGCATCGAGCTCTTTGTTGGAGGTGAGAACCTGAGAGCAGCAGCATCTAAACCTTGCCCCAAGCTGTGCCTGTCCTCCTTAGCTCTCATTTATTGCCAGGATTGTTCACTTTCAGTGCATTTGCAGTGAAATCCACCCCTGCCCGGGAGCTGCTGCCCTGGGCACTGCAGTGTCCTGGCAGCCTTGTCTCCCCACCTACCACTCCCAGCTTTAGGTATTCAGTGCAGTCAGTGAATTGTTCAGGAAGTGTGGGAAGGGCTAGAACTGTAGAAATGTGAGGTATTTATCAATTGTCAGTGGCAACAGAAAACTGCTGGGAGTAGCTTTTCCTACACAAGCTCTTCCCATCAGTTTCTCATAAGGTTCTGCCACCTTCTTTGCTTCGTCATTGTCCCAGAGCAATCAGGTCATAGTCTGGTTGTTCCAAGCAGAGGAACTGCAGGGTTTTTTCTCAGCTCTGTGCTCCCGGGAGCACTGCCTGTGCTTCTCCTGGGAGAGCTGCTGGCTCTGCTGCCACAGCTGACCCTGTGCTGTCACTGTCCCTGTCCAGGCATTGGCCCCGACGGTCACATCGCCTTCAACGAGCCGGGATCCAGTTTGGTGTCCAGGACACGAGTGAAGACCTTGGCCATGGACACCATCCTGGCCAATGCCAGGTTCTTTGATGGTGACCTCTCCAAAGTGCCCACTATGGCTTTGACAGTTGGAGTGGGCACTGTCATGGATGCCAGAGAGGTGAGGAAATAAGAAGTGGCTTCCTGCAGTTCCTCTGGAGCAGCCAAAGGTTATCCTGTTATGGAGCAGCCACGTGTCCTCTGGTGTAGGATATGCCTGCCACAGAATGCCTGATCCTCCTGTCCTCTGGCATCATGCAACACCATGGAGAGGCTCTTGCTCCATCTCTGCTGGCACTTGTGTTTGTGTAACCCTGCAGCAGCTGTTCCCCCCAGGAAGCCAGGAAGGTTTGGGAGGGTGTCTTTGGTTAGAATCTCACCTGGAGAGTAACTGGAGACTTGATGTCACACCAGCAGGTCATGAAAACTGTGTGGGACCACTTTTACTGGAGTCTATTCTTGATCTACACTTGTAAATCTCAGTGTCCAGGTGCCCAAAGGATCATTGCAGTGACCCCCCAGGCTGTGATTTCATTGAGAGCCGAAGCAGCCAGAGCAGCAGCAGCACAGAGAAGTGGCTGTGGGGAGGGTGACAGGGGTGTCCCCATTCTCAGCTTGGCACGGTGTGGTTGGGCTCTCCCTGACTGCCCCTCTCTGTCTGGGGGTGCAGGTGATGATCCTGATCACGGGAGCCCACAAAGCCTTTGCTCTGTACAAAGCCATTGAGGATGGTGTCAACCACATGTGGACGGTGTCGGCCTTCCAGCAGCACCCCAACACCGTGTTCGTGTGCGACGAGGACGCCACGCTGGAGCTCAAAGTCAAAACAGTGAAGTACTTCAAAGGTGAATGTTTGACCAGGCCAGGCAGCTGCTGTGTTACATTTTTAGGAGCCACAAGCCATGCTTTGTAGAGGTGTTGCTGTATAAGTAACTCCTAAAGGAGTATATTCCTTAAATATACCACAGTAATATGTGTGAAGGTAAATGCTTAATGCTTGGTGTGGGAGCAAAGGCACAAGGACAACAGTAATGTCTAATTCCATTAGCATCCAATGAAGGAGAACTTTCTTGTATTATGTCTACTTAAATTGCCTTTTGATTCTCTCCATCAGGTTTAATGATGGTTCACAACAAGCTCGTGGAGCCCTTGTACAGCATGAAGGAGATGGGAGCAGAGAGGAGCCAGTCCAAGAAGCCATACAGTGATTAATGTGCTGGGGCAGTGCTGACCCAGCTGCTGAGAACAGCTGGGACAAAAGGGAATTGCTGCAGAAACTGATCTCATATTTGTTCTTAAATTAGCGGAATGATCGTATGAATTCTCTCCATTAAAGAGACAGATGCCAAACACCTGCCTTAATTAACCAAAGGAGGATGGGACCCAGTGTTCTGTGTTCCACAAACTTCTGCCACCAACTCATTCTCTGAAGGAAATGAAGAATGAATTGTTTGATCTGTGAACTGGCTGTAATCACAGACTGAAGGCTACAGAACTGAAATGTGAGGATAAATGAAAGTACAATGTTTCAGACACAAGTGGCTGATAACTTTGGGGTGTATTCCTTGCAATTAGGACAAGCATCTCTGTTATTCCTTCCTCCTCCATGAAACACTCTTACATTAGAATCCTGGAAAAGAGGATTGTCCAGCTGGAGAAGGGCAAGCTCAGAGCAGCACCCAGAGCCAGGAGATGGAGCCAGGGGGAAGAAGAGAAGGGACAGTGGGGTGGGAGTGGAGACACAATGCTCATGCTGGAGAGGATAAAACCCCACTGTGGGAACAGCCAAGCAGTGGGACAGATCCCCATGGCTCTCTCCTTGGGAGGTTGCCAGGACCTGACTGGATAAAGCCCTGGCTGAGCCCTGCTCTGAGCCACATGTTGGACTGGAGACCCCTCAGCAGAAGAGGCTGCAGCATCATCCCCCACATGGGGTCCATGGTGCAGCTCAGGCACCTGAGGATGTCACAGTTGTCAGGCCCAGGTATGATTTCCTATGCCTGGTGCTCTCTCTTCTCCAGAATTTTCCATTTCTCTAAGGAGAAGCCAAACAAGCCCCAAAGGAAACACTCTGTTCTCACTGGCTTCAGCCTCTGTTTCATTACAGACACCCCACACAGGTGGACAACAGCCAAGACCCCACCAATTCTGAAATGTGACTCCTGGGATTTCTGTCCAGTGCTCTCACACGAGGGGCAAGAAAACTGGGCAACATTTATTTTCTTTATACAGAAGTTTTGTAAGTTGTTGATCTGTAATGTAACTTTCTTCACTAAATGTCTTTACTTTTTTAAATGGTGACATTTGACTGTGTCTGGTGCTCGGTCTCAGTGTGCTGATGGTAGCAAAGCTGTCCTGGAGGCAGTTTGGTGGGAAGAGCTCCTTCTGCCCCCAGTGTTTCCTCAGAGGGAAGAGCAGGGCCCTCGGGGTGGGAGGGCACTGTGCATGCATTAAACCCCACGAGCACAACATGTCCCTGCCAGCTCCAGGTGGGAGCTCTGGGCTGTCCCATTCCCAGGAGCACCTGGGCACACCTGTGCTGCCAAGTCCATGCCAGAAGGAAGACAAACAGGAACACTGTGTTTGCCATCTTAAAGTGAATTTAGTGCTTGTGAAAGGTGCAGGAAAACAACTCAAACCATACACAAGGTACACTTT